GGGGAGCAGGCGGAGGGCCGTGGCCGTGACGGGGCACGGGGGGGGGAGCAGGCGGAGGACCGTGGCCGTGACGGGCACGGGGGGGGGAGCAGGCGGAGGGCCGTGGCTGTGATGGGCACGGGGGTGGGCGGGCGGAGGGCCGTGGCCGTGACGGGCGCGGGGGGAGCCGGCGGAGGGCCGTGGCCGTGACGGGCGCGGGGGGAGCGGGCGGAGGGCTGCTGCTCTGCTTGGCGGATCCGCTGGGCCTCTCACTGCCCCCCATCCGCCCCCTTGCAGAGCACCACGTCCCGCCGGGAGAGAGGAACCAGACGGTGGGGCCCTGCACCGAGTACTCGTGTGCTGAGGGCAAATGCATCCCCTTTAAGCAGGTACGGCTGGGGCTGGGCCGGGGGCAGGGGGCTGCAAGACGCTGGTGTGTGCGGCTGCTGGCTCAGCCCTGCCCTGGATCCGCTCCCCTGCCTGCGGGGCTGGGAGGTGCTGCCCGATCGGGGCGTGGCAGAGGGTCCAGGGAGGAGGAAGGGCAGTGCCCCTGGGTGAGCTGGGCATAGCCCCTGTGCCCTGGCCTGAGACATGCAAGCTCCCTGCCTAGCAGTGCCCAAGCTGTCCCCTCCTTTCCCCTGCGCCTGCCTCAGTGCTCCCCCCACCCCTGCCTCCATCTGCACCACCCTCCCCCGGGTGAGGATCGTCCCTCAGGCTCACGCCCCTTCTCGCTATGCTCCCCTCACCAATTCATCGCACCCCTGGCACCCAGCAGCCTCATTCCCAACTGCTGAGACAGCCTGGGGGCTGCCGCGCCACCCTCCTCTGCCCCCGCCAGCCTGCCAGGCATGCCTAGGCCCACATCTCCCGTCCCGGCCCTTCCATCCCTGCTGCCACTCTCCACAGGGCAGAGCTGGCTGGATCCTCACAGCATGGGACAGCTGCGCCACCCCGCCCTCGCCTCCTGGTGCCAGTCCAGAGTGCCCCCTAGTGCCCGCTGCTCTGTCCGCTCATATGCTTCTCCCCATATCAGCTGGTCTCTGCTTCTCTCACCCGCCCATACTGCCTGCCCTGTGCCCTGCCCTGTGCCCTGCTCCCTTCAGTGGTCTCTGCTTCGCTCACCCACCCATACTGCCTGCCCTGCCCTGTCCTGTGCCCTGCTCTCTGTCTCCCCCCCCATCACTGTCGCCCCCCAGCTCTGTGGGTCTCTGCCTCTCCCCGGACGGCTCAGTGTGGTCTCCCGGCAGGTGTGTAACGGGCTGGCGGATTGCGCAGATGGCAGCGAGGCCTCGGGCTGGCTGCCCTCGGACGAGCGGGACTGCGGGCTCTGGAGCCCCTGGGCCCCCTGGAGCACCTGCAGCCGGTCTTGTGGGACAGGCCTGCAGATCCGCAGGCGGGTCTGCACCAGACGGGCCAATGACGTCCTGCGCCACTGCCACGGCGAGGAGACGCAGGCCCAGCAGTGCTTCGCCCTGGCCTGCCCAGGTGAGACTGGGCCGGGGGCGGTGTCCGTACAGCCGGGTGTGGGGTGAACACAGGGGTGTCCGTACAGCCAGGCGTGGGGTGGACAGAGGCGTGTCCGTACAGCCGGGCGCGGGGCAGACAGAAGGGTGTCCGTACAGCCGGGCGCGGGGCGGACAGAGGGGTGTCCGTACAGCTGGGCCCAGGGCAGACAGAGGGGTGTCCGTACAGCCGGGCGCGGGGCGGACAGAAGGGTGTCCGTACAGCTGGGCGCGGGGCGGACAGAAGGGTGTCCGTACAGCTGGGCGCGGGGCG